ACAACAACGAAGGGAGGTAGGGGCTACACAGGACCCTGCTACAAGGTGTGTGACTTCACCTCACCTATGAAAAAGAAGAGCTGTAGTAAGTCACCCTGAAAAAGAAGAGCTTATACTGCCCTGTGAGGTAACACTGACTCCCAGCTCTGAGATTCAAAGCCTGGGGAGCAGAAATCAACAATTTTGAACCTTCTAGTGAAGTCTTTCAGAGACGCTCACTCTTTCCAGGACCAGCTGAATAGGATTCCAATAAACATATTGCCGAAATGTTTGTTTCCGGGTGTCATTTTAGACTGCAAGTAGCTCAAACAGACACAGCTCCTATATATAGACGCTGCATTTGGTTGTGCTCTAGGAGGCTTTTATTACTACGCTCCTTGGCAGGCTCCCAGCTCAGCCTTTCCCTCAGATTTTGGAATTAGGAAGTCACAGAGGATCACTGACCATATTAAGGGTCTCCCATCTACTCTCTCTGTTTCGCTGTTAATGCTCTGGATGCCAGCACAGACCCGGCTCTTCTCTCTGCTCAGAGTCTCCTAATATTAATGATGACACCGCTGATGGGAATAGACCAGCCCCACCATGAATTCAGGCAAAGCTCCCCTGCCATCTGAAGAAAACAATTTGTGTCAAAATGAAGTATAGATGGCCACACACAGCCCAATCTAGATATGAGAATCCAGAACCCTTAGTGGGTAGAACAAAGAGAGGGATTTTTAAAGGTGTTTTGTTTTGTTTGTGTTTCTTCCTTTTTTTCCTTTTCTCTTTTTTTTCTTTTCTTTTTTCTTTTTTGAGGGTGGGTATTAGAATTTTACTCATGAATTTTCCAAGGAGAGGGCATGCTAGGACCACAAAGGTGAAGGTAGGAAGGTGAGGTGGGTGCTGAAAGAGGAAATACTGACAGCAGGAGGTGGAAGAAGGGCTTCTTTACAGAGACTATGTTGGACTCTGGTTTTTAAAAATGTGCTCTGTCCCGGAGACAGTCCCTCCACTGTGTGTCCTTTGTTTTCCCGGCCTCATTTTCCAGGGGCTGTCTTCACCTGCCTCTGTGATCTTGCTGTGTTTACCCAGCATGGATCTAACTGCCTCTCTGGTCTCTGTATTTCATGCACTAACCACCCTCCCTCACTCTTCTCTCTTTTTTTCACCCTCCTCTCTTGTCTTCCCCACTTCTCTCTCTCTCAGTCCTTCAGCCTCCCAGGTTCCCCTTTTTCTAACCGTCCTGCCCTCCCTGTTCCATGTACTCCTTTCCCCTTCTGTCCCTCTTCCTCACCTTCCTTCCCCTTTCCCCGTGCTTTTCTTTCTCCCTCCTTCCCTCTTTCCCCTGGCCCCCTCTCCGCCTTTCACCCTTTCTCCACTCTCTCCTTCCCCATCTACCCATCCCCTCTCCTTGCTCCTCTCTCTTTCCTTTCCTCCTCTTTCCCTGCTCTCCCTGTCTGTCCTGGTCCTCCTTTATACAGCTCCAATTTCTTGCCTTCTAGATTTACCTGCAGACCAAGACAGTGCTCCTCTTGCAAGAACTGTTTAAGAAATCCATATCCTCTCCCTTCATTCCTTGGGCATTTCAGAAATGATATTCCTCCCCCAACTACCCCGTCAAAATAAAATGAATTCAGCCAGCTCCTGCTGTGTGTCCTTAAATTCATTCCCTCTAGCTTCGCTGGTTTGAAAGCCTGTACCCTAGAAGGGGCCTCCTGCATTTGCTGGCAACCCTGCTTGAGTCTGATCGCCACAGATAGTGCTTTGGAGTGAAAAAAAGGGGGAAAAAACCCTCTCGTTGGAGATTTCAAAACAGATTCTACCAGCTTTCAAATCTGTGCACTTTGCGGAGTGGCAGGGTTTGAGGGAGAGGGGTTGAGGACTTGGGGTGTGGGTGTCTCTCATAAACAAATAAGCAACAGAATTTATATATGTATAAATTTGGGCTTTCCCTTGGCATGTTTGGTGTCTGTCTCCCTGGCATCAAGGGTGGGTGCTGTGTAAGTCTGACTTCTCTCACACTTTTGCTCCGGTTTGGGGTCTGAGTGTGTGTGTGAGTGTGTGTGTGATGGAATTGAGGAGGGGGTTGCTGTGTTTTTGATCTGATTCACTTGACAGATTATTTGAATCCAGCCCACCTTTCCGCACATGTCAAACAGATGGGATCATTGTTAAAAGCCTGGAGAGCCGGGCTGAGCGGTGGGTAAGGCAGGGAGGGGGAGGCAGGAGAGGCACCGAGGGGAAGGAGGGGGCACCTTCCAGGAGCTTTGTGTTTTCACACATTGGAACTGACAGGAGACCTTCTTCCTTGTGGGTGGGGGAAGTGTTTGGGGGCATGGGGCTGATGAGGGGGGGTGGAAAGAGAGAGAGGTGGGGTGTTGGTGGGCAGGGTTATGATGTCACAGCCCAAGTTACAACAGGAGGAAAACACAGAAATGGTTCAACATTTTTTTTTTTTTAAACTTTGGACTGCCAAGAGCTGAAGGAGAGTGGTGAGCAAAGGAATGAAGGGGAGAGAGAGAGAGAGAAACTAAACTGGAAGCTTGAGTTTTGTGTTGCCTCTTGAAACCTTATGAATGGATTACTAGCAGCTGAGAGCCAGGAGAGACCTATGGGGATGCAAGATCACCCACACTCTTACAGGGGGAGAAAAGCAGGCGGAACCCTTCCTTGATGTGCTATCCCCCCTTCCTGAAATGAATGGTAGGAGATGTTTTTCTGAGGGTCCTTGGGGTGGCAAGGGGGCAAGGGGACAAGAGGACAAGGGGACAAGGGGAGGGCTTGTCTTCTCTTCTTGCCTGAGTACCTTCTTTTCTTTGAAACTAAGCCATTTCTTCCTGAAATTCTCTCTCTCTGTCTGTCTGTCTCTCTCTCCTTCCCTCCCTTCCTTCTTACCTCCCTCCTTCCCTCCCTCCCTCCCTCTCCTTCTCCCTCTTTCCTCTCTGGCTTCCTTCCTCCCTCCTCCTCTCCTCTGCTTTTCTGGCTTTCTCTATCCCCGCCCCCAGTCTCAATTTCTATTCTTGATCTGCTTCAGTGGGGAAAACTGAGTCAGAAAAGTGAAGGGAGCTAGGGAAGTGATAAAAGAAAATGGATAGTCAAGGACCTAGGGGTATCTGTCAGCAAAAACCACGTGCCTGGACTGAGGAATTCTTTGGGGGCTTGCTTTGAGGCTTTATTCCATGCTCCCAGGGGAAACGGTGCATGTGGGATGGGGTGCACAGGACACAGCATTTTTAAGGCCAGTTATCAGCTGGAAGAGAGGAGTTCAGAAAGATGAGGAGACCCAGGGTGAAGGAAGGACCATGATCTCACTCCAGAGCATGTGGGCTGTGTGAGTTAGATATGAGCAGCAGAAGCAGTGCTTGTAAAAGTGTAAGTGATTTCTCTTATTACTTGAAAGAAGGATTGAATGCCTATTTATACCTTTTTAATACTACCTGTGGGCAAGCATGCCTGCATTCTCTGTTGTGTCCACGTGTCTGTCCGTGTATTCTATATACATGCATGCTCCTGTAAGGGATGGAAACCCTCTTGAGAAGGAAGGTGTCTAACACCTAGGCAAACAATGCAGAGATTAAACGTACGGTGTTCACTTCCCCCACCTTACCCATTCATTTCAAATCAATTAGAAAATAGCTGCTTCACTTTAGCTGTTCATTTGTGTAAATTACTTATTTTGAGCACCTCCTTTGTTTATGTGTTCCCTCAGCATATGGTGACTTTTACTAACTTTAGACCAAGAAACTTCCGAGAGAAAAAGAACGTCTATGTGCTAGGAGTACGCGGCGTTTCCGTTTAATGCTTCTCACGGCAGGGTAATTGATTTCTCCTTTCCTCCAGTGTCCAATAGGAAGTGAATTTGGTATTGTCCTTTGAAATCTGAAGTGATAGAGTAAAAATTAGAAAAAAAAAAAACCATGGAAAGCTTGTGATAAATCAAAAGAAAGAGATGTGAATGGTCTCCAAAAGGCTAGTGTGTGTTTATTGACCACATCCATTCAAAGTGTGTATGTGTGCGTGTAAGAGGGAAAGAGAGAGAGAGATAGAGAGAGAGAGGCTACACACAGAAAGGCACGCTCCAAAACAGTATTGATTGTTTTCTATTGATTGTGTAGGCTGCGGCTGCTGAAAGAGAAAGCCGGAGATGTTTACTGGGAAAGCCAAGAGGAGCATCTGTCCCCTTGTGCCTCAGAGAGGTGGGGGAAGGGGGGCTTAGGAGGAAGGAGGGGACAAGGAGTAGGTGGAGTGATGCACCAAACTTATTAGCTTTGACATCATCATTGTTTTTAAATGAAAAAAAAAACCCAAGAAGATAATTACAGGAAGAAAGAGAGGGAGAGAAGGGAAGCAGGAGAAACCGGAGGGAGGGAACAGGTCCCTTGACGTATATGCGGTTCATGTTGCTCTTTTTATCCTTCTTTCCAGAGACCCACCAGGCTCCCTGAAGGTGAAAGCAAGGGCTCCCAGACTCATTTGATCAGGAGACCAGCAGACTGGCAGCCAGAGAACTTTACAGAGACTTGCAGCACACCAACAAGTTGGACGGAAATAAAAACAAAAACCAATACCAAACAAACAAACAAAAAAAACAACCAAAAAACCAAAACAACAACAACAACAACAACAAACTCTCTTCAATAGTCAACAACCCTGAGCTCCGCTGAGGGAGCATTCACCTACCCAGGCAGACTGGAGGCTGCATGGACATCTGGCTGAGGACTCTGAAGAGAAAGAAAGTTAAGTATCAGCTTGTATTTTTGTGCCCCCAGATTATTTCCTCATTTTAAAAGAATAAGCATCAAATCGTGTCTCACCCCAAGAGTTTTTATTTTATCTTATTTCATTTTCAGTTTGCTTTAAGTTGAACAGAGGCAGAAGAGCACATTAGAGAATAAGATTATTTTGAGTGACCAGCTAAGGTAGTGCGTATCTGAGAGGATTTTGCTTATATTATACACTCTCTTCTAGTATCAGTGAGGAGAGGAGTTACTGAACGAAGAAAAGGTCTCTGAGAGAAAACTCAAAGTAAGAACAGTTAAGTTCATTTTGAGAGGTTTGAAATCAAGCAAGAAGAGAGGTCAAGGGAGCTGGTGAGAAGGTCCAGGAGACAGGAGCGACAGAAGCCACAAGGAGCTGGCTGAATTCCCAGGACAGGTAGCCAGGAGAGGCCTTCTTTTGGGTGCTACTTGAGAAAGTTTGGTTTGTCATTCAGTTTTCCTGGTGACTTCAAATCCATTGCTGGTTGTCTTTTCCTCTCTTCTCCCATCATTCTTGTGTGGTACCCAGAAACTGACTTCTGGTTTTTAAGAAGTGTGCTGACGGGAGATATGATGTATTGGAAGGTCCTGAGAATAAGCCTGGTGGTTCTGGCTGGGTGGGCAATCAGTACCACTAACTCGGAGCTGGGCTGGACACGCAAGAAATCCCTGGCCCAGAGGGGACTCCTGAAGCAGGTGCCGTTGGAAGGTGAACACTGTTGGCTGGGGCACAAGGTTCGAAGACCCAGAACTGCTCCCCAGCACCATCTCTTTGGGGTCTACCCAAGCCGACCTGAAAGCTACCTGAGGTCCTACCCTGTGGGGAAGCAGCAAACCCAGAATGCAGGATGGAGTAAACAAAGCGCAGCAAGACATGCTTCTAGTGGTGTTCCTGGAGACCTGACTGAAAACCCAGCAGGAGTGAGGAGGGCGTCTGAGCAGCCAGCTGCCCCGTGGGTAAGGGATGGTCCTATTGGGCAATCAGAGCTGCCGAGAGATGATGACAGTTATCCTGGCAAGAGAGAATCCAACGAGGTTCTAGGTGAGCCTGTGACTCGGGGAAGCTCAGAAACTGCTGCCTCCACCATTGCCACCTTTGTGTACCGGAAGGGACCCTCAGCAGGGACCCGGAGGAAGGGTGAGACCAAGCCTAGGTTTCCTCACCAAGTGCAGAAGAGGCAGGCAGAAGTGACCAGAGACCCCCAGAATAACCCTCAAGATTTCCGGCTTTGGCCTAAGGACCCCCGTAAGCACGGAGACAGTGACATTCCATTGGAAGGCACCATCCAAAATGGTGGAGGGGCCTCTGGCTGGGGAGCAGAGACCTTTAACCCTCAAGGAGGATTGCCTGTACTGTACTTCTCTGGGAAGAGGGAGCGGCTGCTCCTGCGTCCAGAAGTGCTGGCTGAGATTCCCCGGGAGGCGTTCACAGTGGAAGTCTGGGTGAGACCAGAGGGAGGACAGAGCAACCCAGCCATCTTTGCAGGTAATGTCCCACTCTACTCCTGGGCTTTTTCGGGTCCCGGGGGTGTGGCCGGCCCCGTGTCTGTTGTGGGTAGATATAAAGGACAAAAAGAGGAACAGGCTAAAACAGGAAAGCTAGGAAGGCTTGGCCAGAGGGGATGTGTGGGTGTGGGGGGTTATTTATCAAAGCAGAAGTACTGTAGGCAACATCAAAGGGAAGATGACTCCTACCCAGGGCATTGCTGTTATTTATCTCTCGGAGCTCTATACATTGTGTTTGCACTTTGGAAGATCTCAGCTTAGCTCTTTCCCCTTTTTAAAGGGAACAGAGGAAAGGGGGGTCACACTGCTTCTCATAGTCTAGTATGGAAAACCCAGGCACCTCCAGAAGCAGAGGAGAGTCCAAGGATGGTAGTAATGAGTAATGCCCAATTGGGTCCAACCAGCAAGGGAACAAGGCTGCCATCCTGGAACTAGGAAGAAAGGTAGCACTTTTTCTATATCCTGGGTCCCCTTCCCTTCACCCCAACAGATCTACTGGAAGTGATGGGGGCTTAAAGGCCAGGTCCTGACTTCTAGCCCTGGTTATTGCTATGAAGACCTAAATATGAAGCTTGTTAACACGTATAACTCTATAGTGTTACTCAGAGGCGTTTGTTTGGGCTCGCTACCTGTGTTCATTTTGATTAAAGAGAGAAGGACAAAGAGCTGGGTTTGGAGTGGTTGCCTTTCTTTTCCTGTCTGGAAAGGTTGATTTTGGGCAAGGAGTGAGGGAGGGATTTGACTGTATATTTTATCCCCCGGTGTGTCGTTATTCTTTTAGATACTCCACCAAGGGAGAATGGGGACAAATGGGCATAAAGTATAAGGATCTGTATGCAGGGGAATGCCACAATGACTCCTAAAAAGCTAACTAAAAAGCAATCAAATACTTATCAGAAGAAAAATAACAGAGACCAATCTGGATTAGCCAGGCACTCATTCATGTTTGTCCGTTCCATTACATTGATAGAGAAACTGAGGCAATGAGGGGGCATGTCAGAGATAGGCTAGGGAAAAAAAATGCCAGAGTTCGTGAATCACTTGATAGCTCCTCAAAAACAAACAAACAAACAAATGAACCAAGGAAAACCCAACAACAACAAAAACCAAACCAAACCAACCAAGCCAGCAAACAACAAAACCCACTTAGGTTTCCGAGCACAAGCTGCCGTCTGGGCAAATAAATCTGGAGGGAAGAGGCCTCCTCCAGTGGGGTGTCGCCGGAACATCCTCTGGACACTATGTCTCTCCCTCTTTGGCTGCAATTTCTTATTTGGAATCTGGGATTCCCAGACACTGAGCACTCTCCAGTCATGTGGCTTTGCTTTATTTTAGTTTTGGGTGGGAGAGGGGCTGAGAGAAGGGGCCAGGCTGTAAGCTAGGTGGGGGCAGAGAAAGAGGAGAAGGAAATCCTTATTCTGGGGCCAAAATGGAAGAAATAATGAGATGATTATCTGATTGGAGTTGGCAGCTTCAGAGTTTCCCCAGATGACATCTTCTTGCTGCCTAGTCTGGCTTCCTAGTGCCCATCTGCCAGGGAGACTGCGTGCTTGCAGTCTAGATTGAGACCGGCAGATCCGACTGCGCTTCCTCCTGCAGTGGCAACATGAGAGAGCTGGGATCAGTTCCTTGGCTGTGAAGACTGAGAGGAGAATCCAAAAGGAATATATGGGGGAGGCTGTGGGGGACGATTTGCTTGGGGTTATTAAAGTCCAACCTTGGAAAACAGGACTGTGGCACCTGACCCTGCCTTTTACCCTCCAGGACTTCTGTCCCACACCCTTCAAGGAGAGTGAGGTCATGGTTTGATTACAGTTCCAGGACGCTATGCCTCACCTCTGGCATGCTCACCCTCATCTCCACGTGCCTCCCTGCCTTGCCTGTCTATCACCAGCAATGGTCTCCATCCTGCCACAGCACGCGTTCAGATCTTCCAGTGTCCATCACCCGAACCCTCCTAGCCTCTCTAAGCATGTAAGATTAGGCAGAAAAATCTTTCTTGGCAATTTAGTTTCTGAGGTTTCTTCTTCCTCCAGTCAGAGTGGCTCCTGTGGTATTCTGGGACTTCCCTTTTAGGTCTGACTCTAAGAAGTGAAGGGCAGAGGGCCTATCTTCCCTCATGGTCCCTTCACTATCTTTCTTCAGGCTTGTGCTTGACCCAAATTATCTGAGGGAGGCAGTGGTTGATAACAAGGCCTCTATTCTTTGGGCTCAGCATGTCTACTCATTGTCTATGCTGCTGGTATTTCACCTGCGTATAGCTGGGCTAAGGATCATGAGGTCACCAGATCAAGTTCTCAGTAATAAAAGCCTTTACCAATTCCACGACTTTACATCTCTCAGCAATCCGTCTTCCTCCCACTGGCATGGATCCTCAAGCTGGTCAGTGTCTGTTCCTAGCATAGTGGGACTTGAGTTACACAGAGTGACAATGTGGAATCAAGTTGCTGGGAGTTACACACAAGCCCGAAGCTTCACTTCTGTTGCTCCTCTGAGGGTGGGCCAACATGCTGCAAGACTTGGCTCTCACTTTGCCAACAGCTTTCAAACCCCAGGTTCCGCCTACTTAACTCAAACCGGCTTCCAAGTCCTCTACCTACCATGCTTGGGATATTTTCTCCTCAGCAGAGACCTCAAACAGTTTATTCAAAGGCAGTTGAAGCCCCTGCCCACAGCTATGGGACCTCAGGGAATAGTTCCAACATACGGCACTAGGTGGCAGTGTTGTCTCGTGCACAGGAGAGGAGGAGGCCGCAAAGTGGGGAATGTCTCTCATTTCCTTGAGGGCTGTCCAGGATGTCCCAGCCTCTGGGCTGTAATTTAATCACCTTCTGCAAAATGTTGTTGGTAAGCATCCCTCGGGGTCCACTTCACATAAGTCTTTTTTTTTTTTTTTTTCGAAAGGCCTGTCTGGAATAGCAAAAGTGGCCTTTTTGAGAGTTGTGACTAACTTGTAGCGCTAGCAAGCAGAAAAGAAAACAAAATCAGCTAGAATTACCCTCTCTCTGCACTCTAAGTACCCGCATTCTTCTGTAACAAGTCAGACTCCAGAATGCTTTTATTGAGGATTGAGGGCAATGCAGGGCATGCAAACTTCAGGTGCTGGGGGCCTCTTCTGGGCATCCTCTGGGCTTTCTGAAAGGTAGGCCTTCCGAAGTTGCCCGTTTCCCACTGCGGGAGCCCGCCAGTGGCGCAGAATGCTCTGTGGTGGAGTTCTTCACAAAGGTAACCAGTCAGGAGCCTGGCACTTTCAGACTGTGGCAAGCTAGGAGTAGCTTGAGGTCAGGAGTCCATTAGGTTGGGCCATTAGAATTTAGTGTTTAAATAAGCTGTCTTCTGTCCTGTTTTGGCATGGACTCTTTAAGGTCCAGTGCCTGAAGCCATCTGAGCTTTGCCCACCACTCCAACTTCCGTTCCTCTCCTTCAGCCTCAACATACACAAAAGAGGACATTTTTAACAGGTTCCTCCGCACCCACAATTGATTTCAAATGTTCCCTGAAGTCGCCCAGCTGGGTAACCGCCTGCAGCTCCGAGCTGCAGGACACTGAGTCATTAAGTCCATAGTATGCTGGAGTCCAAGCCCAGGATCCTTCACCCAACAAATACTCACTGAGTGCCTTGCCATGCAAAGTGAAGCACGTCAGTGAGCGGAACACAACGATGTCTGAGAGACTGTCCTTGCCACGAGTGCCCAAACCTTACAACACATCCCAGTGTCGAGCCTGGGGTGCAGACACCTCTGGATTCAAATCTTTCTCCCACACTTAACAGGACAATTGTCTCTGGCAATTTATCCAGCTTTTCTCCTGAGCTACACTTTTCTCAAATTGAAAATTAAAGGGAATATGTGTGTGTGTGTGTGTGTGTGTGTGTGTGTGTGTGTGTTACTACATACATGTGATATTTAAGTTGGAAAAAAGACAAATAGGGAGAGGCCCTGTAGAAGTAAGTGTTTCTCGTAAATCGCATAGATATGGTGCTCACCACAAAATTTGGCCTGTGAGGCTTATTTGCTTACCAGTGACATGAAAGATATTTAGCAGGAAATATCCAGATTAAGTTAATTTCGGATTTAGTTCAAAATTTTCCTTAGTGGAGATATTAACTTTAATTCCTTAGGAATTTAATTTGATAATCTGTAAAATGGAAATGGCTGTTAAGTAGCTCTTTTTTTTTTCACAATATAGTCTCAGGAGAAAAATGGCAGACTAAAAATTCAAAAAAGATCCATTTATTTCATTAAAAAGTTTCATCTGTTTTTTTTTTTTATTTTTTCTTTGAGTGGTGCTATTTCAAATCAATTGGGCAATGGTGCTAAAACTTTTCTTTTTCTGAGCCGTAAGCCCTATTAAATCGCTCATGAAATCTGTGCTTGCTTAATAGAAAAGTGTACATATTTACCTGGCTTCTGGACTTCCTGATAGCCAGAGCCTGCTGACATCAGGCCATGGTTCAGAGCCCATTGCCAGCTTTTCTGTGTGAGTGACATCTATGGAATGAGGCTTTATGGTAAAGAGTTCTGACCACCGTGAATGCACGGTTTTGCAGAAGACACAACGGCATATATTTAAAGAGACAATAGGGCCTTCTTGATCCCCCAGACCCAGTCAGGCAAAGAACTGTGTCCACATCTTTCCCAGAAGACAGGGGTCTCTGTCCTGCCCTTGTTTGCTTCCTGCACGCATGGATGGTCAAGTCAGAGTACTTGTCCTCATCAGAGCCTGAGGAATCACCTGTTCCTCTCACATACCCCTCCTGGATCAGGACTCAGATTTTCAGTGAGAATTGTGACCCTGCTGGCACAGAGCTGTTTGTATGGGGGCCCATGGTTTTTTCCCTGGGGGTGGTCCTGTTCTTTCTGGTGATGGAGACGCATGAATTATTGGTGTGAAGGAAACACGTGCCTGATGATTGTGACTTAGCTTCTTTGGACTTTTTATGGTGAGACTTGATGACTCTCCAGTGGAGAAGCTATGTGA